ATACACAGTGAGATGCTGCAGGGCTTTTGCTAGAAACCCTCACGTCCAAGGGAAGAGAGAGCTGGGCAGTTGTGATAGAATCTCCCCCATTCTGGTTGCTGCTATATCAGCCCTCAGGAGATGACTCTCTGTAGCTCACAAAATGTTTTTGAAGTGTGACTGTTTTGCCTTTGGAATACACCAACCAGCAATATAAAGGGGTGTGTGTAAGTGTGCATGCACACAGAAAATAGATTTGTACACAAACACACATGCACATGAACCCCCTACTTTCTCAGGTGAGGGCGTGCTTCCTTCTTTCTCCCAAACCCCAACTCATCTCTGTGTGGTCTTCATTAGAATCATAGAATCATAAAATCACAGGGCTGGAAGAGTTCCCAGGGGGCCACCAAGCCCAGCCCCCCACCCAATGCAGGACCAGCCCCAACTAAATCATCCCAGCCAGGGCTTTGTCAAGCCGAGACTTAAAAGCCTCTAGGGATGGAGATTCCACCACCTTCCTAAGTAACCCATTCCAGTGCTTCACCACCCTCCTAGTGAAATAGTTTTTCCTAATATCCAACCTAGACCTCCCCCACCTGTAACTTGAGACATTACTCCTTGTTGTGCCATCCGCTACTACTGAGAACAGCCTCTCTCCGTCCTCTTTGGGACCTTCGTTCAGGAAGTTGAAGGCTGCTATTAAATCCCCTCTCACTCTTCTCTTCTGCAGACTAAATAAGACCAAATCCCTCAGCCTCTCTTCATATGCCATGTGCTCCAGCCCCCTAATCATTTTGGTTGCCCTCTGCTGGACCCTCTCCAATGCATCCACATCCTTTCTGTAGTGGGAGCCACAGAACTGGACGCAATACTCCAGATGTGGCCTCACTAGAGCTGAATAAAGGGGAATAATCACTTCTCTAGATCTGCTGGCAATGCTACTCCTAATGCATCCTAATGTGCCATTAGCCTTACAAGAGCACACTGTTGACTCATATCCAGCTTCTCATCCACTGTAATTGCCAGGTGCTTTTCTACTGAACTGTCTACCTAGTCAGTCGGTCCCCGGCCTGTAACAATGCTTTGGATTCTTCCACCCCAAGTGCAGGACTCTGCACTTGTCCTTGCTGAATCTCATTAGATTTCTTTTGGCCCAATCTTCCAATCTCTCAAAGTCACTCTGGACCCTATCCCTGCCCTCCAATTTATCTACCTCTCTCCCTAGCTTAGTGTCATCCACAAACTTGCTGAGGATGCAATCCATCCCCATTCATTCATTGCCCTTCCCCACCTCATTTCAAATGACAGAATTTGACCACTGTGCTTTACAACAAATATATAGAGTATATAGCTCTTGGAGAAAAGGATAAACATTTCCAGTAAATGCACTTAATTAAAACTTTGCTGACCAAGTGGTGTGCCTCCCTACTCTTGGCTAAAAGAGATTATTTTTGTTTAAATGGGAAAGCAATTGTTCATTGCTCCTCTTTTTTACAGCACATGCATCACAGTACAAAAAGGCTTACCACAGGTTGGGGGGAAATATGTGTTAGAATATCATCTGCCTATCACCACTTGCACAATATTACTTCCATAAACAAGCCCAGTCCTGATAAGGAGTATCAGAGCAGAGAACACGGCAAATAACCAACTGTTTGGCCCAAATGAATCATAGAATCATAGGGTTGGAAGAGACCTCAGGAGGTCACTGAGTTCAAACCTCCGCCCAAAGCAGGACCAAGCTGAACTAAATCTTCCCAGCCAGGGCTTAAAAAACTCCAGGGATGGAGATTCCACCACCTTCCTAGGTAACCTATTCCAATGCTTCACCACCCTTCTAGTAAAATAGTTTTTCCTAATGTCCAACCTAGACTTCCCCCACTGCAACTTGAGACCATTGATCCTCGTTCTGCCATCCGTCACTACTGAGAACAGCCTCTCTCCATCCTCTTTGGAACCGTTTTTCAGGTAGCTGAAGGCTGCTTTTGAATCCCCCCTCACTTTTCTCTTCTGAAGACTAAATAAGCCCAAATCTCTCAGCCTCTCCTCATAAGTCATGTGTTCCAGCCCCCTAATCATTTTTGTTGCCTTTCACTGGACTCTCTCCAATGCGTCCTTTCTGTAACAGGGCCCCCAGACTTAGATGCAATGCTCCAAGATGTGGCCTACCAGTGCCAAATAAAGGGGAATAATCACTTCCCTAGATCTGCTGGCAATGCTCCACTAATGTACCCCACTTTGCCATTAGCCTCCTTGGCTACAAGGGCACACTGTTGACCCCATATCCAGCTTCTTATCTGCTGTAATCTCAGGTCTTTTTTTGCAGAACTGCTACTTAGCCGGTCGGTCCCCAGACTGTAACAATGCTTGGAATTCTTCTCTCCCAAGTGCAGGATTCTGTACTTGTCCTTGTTGAATCTCATCTGATTTCTTTTGGCCCAATCCTCCAATTTTTCTAGGTTACTCTGGACCCTATCCCTACCAATAATTTCTTGTGCTACGATAACAGCGTAGGAAGATCTTTCTTATCTCTTCTTTCCCTGGGAGTAGGAGCTAGAGGAGCCGGGAACTATTTCCACCCCAGTCCCCAAATGGATATGAACATAAAGAATATTCTTAACAGGAACTTCATGGTTCTGGAGTTGCACTTAACAGCCCACACCTGACATCAATTAAAGCACTAGCACAGCAATAGTCTCTTGACTATTGCTAGGTGGGTATTACTGCACTCAAAAGGCAGGTGATACTGATGTCAGCAAAATCAAACATCGGGTGCTATGCTGCTTTGGAATTAACCCCCCAATATGTGAAATTTACTAGTCTCAACAGATCAAATTTCTGGAAGCATTCAGCAGTGTAATATAAGCATGAGACTCAGAACCAGGAGCTTCTGAGTGTTAATATGGCCTTTCAGACAGCCTTTGCCTGTGACCTTTAAGGAGACACAATCTTAGAATCTCCTGAACAATGAGGATATTACTATGCATGTTAATTAGTTAGTTAATTAGTTCAGCACTTGAAGCTATTAATTTATTTTAATGGTTTAATCATTGTAATGGTTTCATATGGTTCTCTCTTGTACTCTCTCCATTTAATGAAATTCTCAGTACTGAACAACTCAGCTTTCATATTTTTCTTTTAATTATCTTGCTTGCTTGGCAGACTTTCCAGGCTCACTGAATTGAAGTTATTACATAACTCAGATTGTGTAACTGACAACTAATGAAAGATGTCAAAGAAATCAGAATAATTGCTTTATCCCAAGTTATCATATACATTATGAATTATAGAAAAAAGTTAATAGAGCAGTTTCTTGCCTATTTTAACTCCGCTTTCTGCAGAAGTGAATTTGCCTCAATGCTCTGGAATATGGATGTTTGTTCACTAGAATATATACAGCATGTGCTGAACTGGCATTTAATGAGAGCAATGAATCACAAAGGCTAAAGAAACTTTCCTTCCTTCCTTATAAATATGAACAGGTTTAAAGAAAAGCTAGCAGATACACAACTAACAGTGATAGTAATTTGTAAAGAGCTCTGGACGCACTGCATACATCCAGGCATGATGCTACCATATATGGTCATGTTCTTCTCAATACTAAGTGTTCCACAAAAATGTAATGATTACAAATTCAAAACAAATACCTTTTAGGGAATAACATGTCCATTGGAAATGTGATAATAAAAATCATTGTTTACATCCAAGTGCATACAGCCATAGCAGTGCCACTCAATCACTCCTTTAGCTTTCCAGTAGTTGATAATTCCAGTAATTCATACCTTGGGTTTCAGGCTTCAAGTTTAAAAGTGATGTGGATTCTTAGTAGTTCAGAAATTCAACACTTTAAAAAATACATTCTTAGGAGCGGATAGGTACTAGGAACTTTTGAAAAAGATATGTTTTTTTTTTTTTTAAAGTTTATCAACATTTTTGCAATAATATTTAACAAGGAAAAAAGCAAATCATGTTCACTGACTTTTGTATCCCAGATTTGAAGGGTCATATTCTGATTAATTAAAAAAGCTAAAATAAAAGTGAGATTTTTCTGGTGTACCAATAATGCTTTCTATACTGCCATCTACTGACTTTTTTCTTTATCCACATCACTTCTATTAGCAACTTGAGTTTATTGCTTAGTTTCTATCTTGGAGACAGAAGGGAAAAAAATCTTTGGACCTGTGCATATAAACTATACCAACAAGTGCAACTCACTAAAACCAGAAATCTGGTTTAGCAGTGCCTTCTCTTTATTCCTAATATGCTAACCGATGTTGCTATTTATTTAATAGTAAAGGGGATTATGCAAAGGCATTTTCTAAAGCTTTTCTTTCATATTTTAAAAGCTATTTTTACTGTATAATTAACCATAAAATTTGTAAAAGTTTATTGTATTTTAATAAAATATCTTAATATTGTATCAATTCAATTCAATGTTAAAATTACTGTTGTATATATTAGTACAGAACCTATTTAAAAAAAATCTTACTGCTAAACTACTACTACTACTTTTACTACAGCTTCTTTACTGGATACACATATAAAGTTAGTGTTTGTGCCTGACATCGTCCGAAAAAGATGCTATAGAATTGCAAAGTATTATTACATTACGTACAACATCTGCCATATATTTGTTTCTGGACATCTCTCTCTCTCTCTCTCTCTCTCTCTATATATATATATATATGCAGCTATGGCCCTGATATAAAACATATTATGAATTTTTCATGCCACATGCAGATTTCTTTAAAGTTTCCAATGATCTTCCAGTGAATTTTAAACTGAATGCTGTTTGCAATATGCAAATCAGACATAAGCCAATCAAGCATGTTTTGTGAGTCTGCCACAATACAGTTTGTTAAGTGAAGCAACCAGTGTTTCTAATTTGAAAGTAATTCACAAATAAATTGCTTTTACCAAGGTACACTATACCTTAGACTGCTGAAGTAACTATGTTGGAAACATCTGTTCACTCCCACCCCCAGCTGGAGAGTCCCTTCAGTCACTGTAGTACTTACAGATATCCAATTAGGGAAGCAGAGAGTGAATTGGAGAGGCCGGAACCTGTACAGCTAACAGCTGGAACAGTCCAAATCCTCTCTGCCTTTGCAGCCTCTCTATATAGAGGAGGAGAATCTAGTCAATGGGGAGGGGCCCTAGAAACCACCTCCTGCTGGAAAATCCTCAATACCTGGGCTTCAAAAAAGAGAACAACAGAGAAGACCCTTGTTCTTGGAGGGCCCAGATCAGGGCTGGTGACTCTTCCCCCAGATCTTCCATTAAAATTAACACACACAGAAATCCAAACAGGATTATGACATAGCTGTACGTCCTTATTTTCTGACACCCAGATGCGCCAGTTGCGATCTAGGAGCTGCCTGAAATTAACAGGGTTTGTTTCTTTTTGCCACTTCACCTAATGGAACTCGATGAATGAGAGACTTAATCTAAACTATATAAACTATCTCCCCTTGTATATCTCCCAGCTGGAGTCTAGCAGAAGGGCAAAGCGAGATCACAGGGAGCCTGTAGTTATGATCCCATTACTTTTGCAGACTATCAGCTTGTTGATGAGGAGCTAAGATGGGTTTGGTATGAGTTGCTTGGGAGAGGAAGGTTATTCCCAACACAGCAGCGGTGCGGGGGTGGAGGTCTGTCTCTGTCTCTGTCTCTGTGTTTATGTAACATTTTGAGCATGGGACTGTTTTAAGCCTTTTCTGTCTCTGGGGAACAAAAAGGTTCTTTTTCCCAGCTTCCCTCCCACCCCAATTTTGCAGAAGTTGGTCTTGCTTTTTGCAGCTCATCCCAGTTCCTGAGAAAGTGTTGTAAATAACTTATCGATACCAAAATACTTCCCTCTGTCCGTAAAAGGAAGAAGAGGACTGTTAAATGGCTGTCAAGAATGGTCCCTAGGAAAAAACAGGAGGCAGTGGAAAACAGGAGGCAGGCACCAGCTGCTGAGGGAGTAGAGGACATTAAGGTGCTTGGAGCCAGCCTTTGGAGTGAATCTGGTAATTGTCAACTCCTCTGAAACCTTCAGTCCAAGCTGCACACCCCATCCCCTGACCCCCAGCAGCAAACAGTTTTGTTCAGCAAGACCAGTGCATGGGAGACATCCCAAAAAGGGAAAGCTAGGATCCTCCAGGAATTCCCATCAGCATACCGGATATGAAATACTGAAGCTATCCGCATACAGCAACAGACTAAATATGGTGCATAAATCTACCAGAGCCCAGTACTGGCTGAAATGGGGTCTATTTACTTCACAGAGTCCTCTCAGTTCCCTGAAATAACCCCCTTTTCTCTGGGAATGACAGATGAATCCCAGCCCAGACGGGGTCTTCCACGAAAATCCTCCAGGAAGGGAGGCAGGGCTGTTCACCTTTCAAATAATTAGGAAACCCAATGTTTCTTAGTATGATGAATAACAATTCATAGATTTCCAAGCCAGAAGGGACCACTGTGATCTCGTGGTCCAAGGGTCTGCAATCTATGGCTCTTGAGCCAAATATGGCTGCGTACAGAATCAAATATGGCTTTTCTGTTATTTCCAAAATACATGAAAGTTTTTAAATTAAAATGAAAAATTAATTCAAAATTTAAAAAATGCACAAATCCTCATATAGCTTGAATGCGTGCATGAACCTCACTTTGACCAGTTCTAATGTAAACTTCAAAGAAATCTGTGAAAACATGCAGCAACAGAAATCCCATTAAACAAGGTCTGTGAGGACAATGTTTCATTTATGCTATTATTAATCATCATGTCAATTATCAATAAAATTCAGGTGTATATTTTCAGTCAAGCAAATGGGCATTCTTATACTGACTCTTTGTTGACCACTGGTTCTGAATTTTGATGTAGTTTGGCTCTTTGGTTTAAAAAGATTGCCAACCCCTGTTCTAGTCTGACCTTCTGTGTCACACAAACCAACTCCCCCTACGATAATTCCTTTTGAATGGGAGCAGGGTTCTTTTCAATCACAATTTGATGTAAATATTGCCAATGATGGAGAATGCACCCAAATCCTGGTAAATGGTTCCATGGGCTAATTACCGACTGTTAAAAATGAGCATGTTATTTGCAGTCTGTTTGTCTAGCTCAGGAGCGGCCCGAGGTGGGTTGCGGCAGTTGGCGCCCCAGGCGGAAGGTGCGATCGGCGCCCCCGCCTGCACGGCCGTCAATGGCCATGACGTAATCACGGGGCACCCAGGCGCCCTCTGATGTCATGATCGGGTGCCCGGGCCGGTGGTGCCCTAGGCGACCGCCTAGCCTGCCTAGGCTCACGGGCCGCCCCAGTCTAGCTTCGACTTATAGCCATTGGATCATGTTACACCTCTCTCTGTTAGACTGAGTAGCTCATTGTTAAATTGTTCCCCATGTAGGTACTTATAGACTATGATCAATGTTTCCTAACACAATTATCATATTTGTAGCTCTTCTATGACCCCTCTCCAATTTTTCAACATCCATCTCAAATTGCAAAGACCAGAAGTGGGCATACTTTTCCAGTGAAGATTGCTCCAATGCCAAACACAAAAGTAAAACAATCTCTGTACTTCTATTTGAGATACTTCTGTTTATGCATTCATCCAAATATTGCACTAGCTCTTTTGGTCTACAGTGTCGCTCTGGTAAATCATGTTCAACTGATTATTCACAAGCATCCCCCAGATTTCTTTCAGAGGCACTTCTTTCCTGGATAAAGTCCCCCATCTTCATTCTTTGTTTACATTGAACTGAATAAAAATCATAATTTCCTTGTGCCCAGTTTTGCCACGGGTCCCGGATTACTCTGTATTAGTGAAATGTTATCTTCAGTATTTTCCATTGCCCCAATTTTTGTTTCATCTTCAATTTTTCCAGTGATGATTGTATGCTATCAGTCCATTGATAATGTTCACTAGAATATAAGAACATAAGGCATGCATGATAGGAAAGACCATACTTGGTCAGACTAAAGGTCCATCTAGCCCCATATCCTGTCTTCTGACTGGCCAATGCCAGAAGCCCCAGAGGGAGTGAACCCAGCAGGTAATCATCACGTGATCCCACTCCTGTCATCTGTTTCCAGCCCCTGAAAAACAGAGGCTAGGGCCACCATTTCTACCTATCTTTGCTAATAAGCATTGATGGACCTAACCTCCATTAATTTATCTAGTTATTTTTTTAACCCTGTTAAAATCCTGGTCTTCACCATCTCTTCTGGCAAGGAGTTCCACAGGTTGACTATGCTGCATGAAGAAAAACTTCCTTTTGATTGTTTTAAACCAACTACGTATTAATTTCATTTGATGACCCCTAGTTCTTATAGGAACAAGTAAATAACTTTTCTTTATTCACTTTCTCCATACTTGTCATGATTTTATAGACCTCTATCATATTCCCCCTTAGTCTCCTCTTTTCTAAACTGAAAAATCCCAGTCTTTTTAATCTTTCTTCATATGGCACCCATTCTAAACCCCTAATCATTTTTGTTGCCCTATTCTGAAATGTTTCCAATGCTAATATATTTTTTTTGAGATGAGGCAACCATATCGGTATGCAGTATTCGAGATGTAGGTGTACCAAGGATTTAGATAGAGGCAGTATAATATTCTCTGTCTTATTCAGAGAACTATCCACACTGACTCCAAAATCTCTCTCTTGAGTGGTAAAATCTTAATTAGTCCCCAGGATGGTGTATGTATAATTGGGATTATTTTTTCCAATGTGCATTACTTTGCATTTATCAACACTGATAAACATTGCATTTATCACAACATAGATCCAAGGACCAGTCCCTGTGGCTCACCTGCTCAGTGATGATTTTGCATATACAGTTATATTTTGAGTCCTCTCAGCCAGTTTTTAATCTATTCCCTCCGTGCTATGTTGATTATGTACCATTTTAGCTTTTTAATCCAACTACGATGTGGTACAAGAGCCCCAGATTGTGGCTTTGCACCTGACCTCGGCTGGACCTTTAGCAGAGCTGAGCAAATAATGGGAGTGGGGGAGAGTTATATGTGAATAGCTTATTTGAAAAAAATCATAAAATTCATGCATATCAGCAAATTATTTGACCCACTTTGGGAAAATTTGAACTTGTAGCACAGGGAGGCTCTCCTGCTGTTTGCAGTCTTCATCAGTGGACATCGGTCCAATCTAGATTCTACTTGCCTTGCACCTTGCGTGGTCATTTCTACCTGGGCAAAGTAAGAGCAGAACCCTACCGCACTGCAGGGCTGGGAGTAGCCCAGGCCCAGCTGGCTGAGAGGGCCCCGCCCTTCCGGCCCTGCTGGGCATGCTCCCAGCAGAGGCCAGGTATAAAGGCAGAGGGAGCCCAGCAGGCAGGAGGACAGCTGGGGGAAGGAGGGGCCAGGCCAGTGTTTTTGCAGCCGCTGGGACCAGAGTCGCTGCCAGTGCTGGACCCTGACACCAAGGAAGCGGACCCCGACTCCAGGAGACCGGAACGTACCCACAACCCCAGCAGGTCCTGCCTCAGAGGCCAATGGGCCCCTGGGGAACTGGGGCATTGTAGGAAGCAGCCCAGGGCAAGGGATACAAAGTTTGGCTCGGCCTGTATCGGACGGATTCCCCGCTGAGCTGGCAGGAGCCACAGACAGCAGTTAACCCCCTCTATAATGTGATCTCATACTGAATCTTTAAACTGCCAGCTTAAGAAAAAACAGGTAGGACTGCCACTCCTCAGAGGGACTAGGCCTTGATACTGTACATCCCCTGATAGAGGGGCCTGGACTTTGTGTTGGGACACTGATACCGTATATCCTGTGATAGAGGGGCCTGAACTTTTGGGGACTTTGGGGTGCGGTATGGGCCCGGACTACAGCCCCTGTCAGGGGCGTACCCCATGACACCTACCAAAGTCACAAAGGTAGCAATCCACACCCACTTTACACAGGTATAAATGACGATGGGAAATCTAGGCAGAGGAAAATCAATTCCAAAATTAAGGAGGTCTAGGCTCTCCTGGATAGGAAATTATCTGCTAAGTAACCTGTATCTTTCAGCTCCTCAGCTGCTTCTTAGGTTTTAAACAGGGAGGTAAAGAAAACCATGGGATCCTCTGAAAAGTGTCACTGGATTATCCAGCAGTCATCAAAATTACCTTAAAGTGTTCCCTACAGGCACATAGATGAGCTCTCTCTCAAATGTATATGAATTTTAATAGCAACTTAAGAAGGAATGGAAAGTGTTCCTCCTGTTTGGTGAACTGTTGCTTGCAGACACACAAGCTGTATGTTTAACAGACTGACTGGGGGTGAGTGTTGCATGATGTGCTATTAAACTACACTGGAAAGTTTAAAAAAAAGTTAGATGGGGGCATATATCAGAGTTGAAGTTGGAGGTCATGTGTCAGAGGAATTACTAGAGGCTGAATTGCAAGCAAATATTATATAAGATAAACAAGAAAATGTTAGTGGAATAGAATATGGTCACAAGCTATCTGTCAACTGTTTCCTGAATACTTGGGCATTTATGAAACATAAATGTTGAGGCAAAATTAGACTTCTACTTTGAAAGCAAGGGATGTTGATACTCAACACTGTATCTTTACAATATCTTTGTGGTTTAAAAAGATTTTGTCACCCAGAGGCCCAGAATGTAGGGTTTGCAAAAATATTTTCATGTCAATTTTCTAGAAAAATATAGACCATTGATGAGATTGGATTTAAATAGCTTACTACTGGGCTTCTAGACCAAATATTGTGTTGCTGCCTGGGGGAAGAAGGAGGAATTGGAATTGATTAGATTCTAGGAATAAAAATGAAACTGACTAGACTCTTTTCCATTGTGCAATCTGAATGAAATGCAGAAGAGTCTAAATAATGAAATGTCAACTAAAGGTTCTAATATGAAGTAGTGAGTCAGGTATCATTGGTAATACTGATTAGGAAATTTGGGGGATTTTAATTGACAGTTTCACTGTGATCTAAGATTTTAGTGGGGGACAGTAGCTGTGTCAGGATTGTATCCTGACAGGTGCTAAACAGTCTGCTTCCAAACCAGCAAATCAGCAAGGGCATGTCTACACAGCAAAGTTAATTTGAAATAACAGCCCTTATTTCGAATTAACTTGAATAGCGTCTATACAGGCAAACCACTACAGGCAGTCCCCGGGTTACGTACAAGATAGGGACTGTAGGTTTGTTCTTAAGTTGAATCTGTATGTAAGTCGGAACTGGCGTCCAGATTCAGCCGCTGCTGAAACTGACCAATGGCTGACTACAGGAAGCCTGAGGCAGAGTTGCTCTACCCTGGGCTTCCTGGAATCAGCTGCTGATCAGTTTCAACAGCAGCTGAATCTGGACGCCTAGGACAGAGCA